AAGAAATGGACATGGCTGAGTGGAGTAAGCAGTAACATGTAAAGATTATTACTAAATCCTTACATCTTCCTATCAAGATCCTGATTAGAATTGGCATTATCCTGCAATGTTTGGAAACGCATATTCTAGAATAGTTTTGCACAAGATCCTGATTGAAGCTTTTCAGGACTAGTCAATTTTGTATTCTAACTGATCTTGTTATTTTCTTCGAAAGATCCTCGTCTGATGTGACTATCACTCCTGACAAGATCCTGATACGAAGATTTGAACTAGATCCTGACGAGAACCTGATAAAATCTTGACAGAATTTTCTCTTATAATCTTGAGAGAATTTCTGATAGGATCTTCAGTAAATGTTGATAGGATCCTATATTCTCAACTCAGAAACATATCTGAACAGGAACTTGAAGAAATCCTGAACAGAATCTTGTCTCACCTTGAAAAATCCTAGAAACAGGAATTACAAGAATTTGAAACAGAATCCTGAATAAAACTTGACAAGATTCTTGAGATTCAGGATCCTGAAAGATTCTTCTAGGATTTCTCAAGAAATGAACAGGATTGAGACTAGGATCAACCCACACTCACACTCATACCCAATACATAATTTTTTTTCTACTTGTAGAGCACTCAACATTCAACATAAAACGTTCATGAATGAACAATGATCTTCATATTCAAGTATCGTCTAATGATAGTAGATGGTATCAATTCTCGTGCAGTATCCAACAGAGGAGATCTAAAGAATTCGAATTCATACTTGATTTGGTATGGTGAAAAATATAGTTTGACACACACAGTTAATTACATATATTCTAGTACAGTTGACTGAGAACTGTCATTGTTTGGAAGAAATATTGCGAAAAATGGATACTGTACAAATCACATCATATTTTTTTAACTCAATAGAAACCAAATAGAATTGAAATGGAATCTTTTTTTAAATTGTTTCAGATTCTACATCTACACCTTGCCTTTCAAATTTTAAATAAAGAATTAAACTTTTGAGAACGACAAAAAATTGTTTGTACTTGCTATTAAATCTCGACCAAAAAGAAGTTCAAAAATCTAAATAAAACTTTAATTTTATAATTAATATAAATCTTAAAAATATTATAAAATAAGTAGTATAATAGAGAGTTATTGTAATGTCTCGACTATAATCGAGTCGCTAGCTAATCAATAAAAACTGTTCATCTATATTTTCTTATGTAACATCGTTTAAGATTAATCCTCGTTATTTAATAACTTTAGTCTTACAAATGATAGTTAAATGATTCCAAGTTTGATATATAAGTAGAAAAAAAATTGATTTTCAACCCATATGCGATGCTTTCTGCTTTTTACGATGCATTAAGTATGATAAGCGGAGATGTCGGTTTTGTTTTGCTCAATTGAATAATTTGGAGACCATTTCCTTGATTAAGACATCCAATGACTTCAAATTGACGAGCAGGAAGAAGAAAAACTTCATTTTCATCACCATAAAATGAATGTGATCGAAAATGTTTACCTGAATCACATTCAATACTGAAGAAAGTTCTTAGTCCTTCTTTTCCCAAGAAACGCTCATTTTGATGTGTCTCAATCGATACGGTAGACGAAGAGAAACTCCACCAAACAATTATACTTCCTCGAGAATAGTCACCAGAAAAATCTGATTTGACATCTCAGTAAACAACATGATGAGTTGATAGAAATTTTTGAAGAGAATTGATGATGAGTCAAAGATATGAAAACCATGGTTTTAGCTGTTTATGAACGCTTGCTCGTAGAGTACTGTTATGTGTAACATAGATAGATTTTTTGTATGGTTACCATTCCATTGTGTAAAGCTTGTTAGATGTGGACTCATCAATAGTTAAACCATCTTTTGAATCATTGCAATTCTGTTTAGCACTCCAAACCATTTGTTCAATATCTGGAATGAGCAAGACAAGAGGATTGATAGCTTTTTCAAGAGAAACTAGAAGCATTTGTTTGAATCATTGAATAGATGAAAGCATTCGTCATGGTTCGCCAATAATGTCAGAGAATTGATACTTACTTATGATTTTGTTCATCAACATTCTTTCAAATCGTACTGGAAGTTTGACCTAAAAAGAAAATATAAATGTCTAATAGATAACCTACTAACCATCTGTTTGAAAATTAATAAAATTTGTTTGGACTATAATTTTCAAAATTTAAAGTCGAAAAAGATCGAATTCGCAGTGTAGATATAGTTTATTTACAGTCTCAAGCAACACACTTTAAAGTATTGTCTACATAAGACATAAAAGTTTAGAGTAGTTTTAAACAAAGTCAATAACTCGCTGCAATATTCTTTTGAACAGAAACTGCGCTTATAAACTTAAAAGGATTCGTTCTTGTGAACCTTTAAAGTTATGTTATGATCATTTTACTGAATGCTCGTCATATTTTTAGATATATGATACCGAAATAATAAATAATAGAATATCAATATAACATTTTACTTATAGATAGGTCAAATGATCCATAGAGTGTTCTGAAAATGTGATTCAAACAACATTTTCATTTTTCGATGCCTTGAATTTCTAAAAGCTGAGCTATTACTACAGCTATTTTCTAAAAACTGAGTTTAATTGAAAATTTAATGTTTCGGAGAAAGAATATTGCTTCTTGTTGAAATTTTCATAATATTATATGAATCATTTGACCTATCTATGGAAGAAATCTTTTCCCAAATATATCTATAACAGGCATGACAATTTACTAAAACAATCATAACTCGACTTTAATAGGTCATAAGGATGAATTCCTTGGTCCTTTTGATAGTCTCACCAAAATGTTCTTATGGATCTCATATTGGATGCAACACACATATGTACATATTTTCTTTCGTTCTGCATATATGTAACGAACGAACGAACGCACTCACACGAACATACACATACACACGCGCACATACATACATACGAACGGCCATTTTTTTCGTACGCGTCATGTGCGAGAATTAATAAAACGACAGCAATCATGTTTTGTAAAATGGTTGTTGTTTGTTGAAACGAATTAATTTACAAAACAAAAAAAAGAGAGAGCACATGTAATGCTTTAATCCACTTTTTATTTCTTTTTCTCTATCTGGTCTTTCTTTCACTCTTTTTCTTTTTTTTTTCTTCCTTCTTATTATTCTATTTTTTTTTTGTTCTCTTTCTTTGATCCCTTTTATTTACCTCTTTGATATCCCTACAAGTGTGATCTAACATTCGTCATAATTATAGTGGTGACAAATTGTGAAACGCTTTGCATTAATGATGTTGCTTCTGGCTTAAACATCACAATTTCTTTTTCTACTCTCATGTCAGCACTTCTGAGTGTTACATTCACTAGTATAATAAAAAGAAATATACGAACGAACGAACGAAGATAACACACTCAGCGTATGATCATCCTTTCAGTAGAGAGGATTATCGGAGCAGACAGATTGAAATATATGGATTTCGCGAGTATATTATAAAGAAAGCAGAAAATTTTTCGTGCATAGAAGTATGTGAATCTGTCACAAACTGTTTCAAAGAAGAGATAGTAGTGGCTTTTTTCATTAATCCTGCATAAGTTTTCGATTGATATAAATGACAAACTAATCGAAAGCATTATTCTGTTTGTTGAATCGTACATTTCTATGTCAATAATAACTTAACTTGACACAATATTATCATTCGAGATATTATTAGACTACTAAAATGTTTTCTCGAGTATTACAAAGCAGAGATATTCTGTTATATGCTGCTGAATTTTTGTGAAAAATAAAATTATTATTGTATCTGATATCTATCGAAGACTATTGTTTGTTGAAATCTATGTATTTGTTTCTATCTTAGACACAAGAATTTCTATTCTTTGAAAAATAATTTCTTTTTTATTTAAATTAAATAATATTTTTTTCAACAGATACATATAAAAATAAGATTTTACGAACAAGAATATAAGTGAAAAATTGTAATATGAGATCGATAGATAGAAGCGAATGATGATTTAGAACCCATCTAGAATAAAAAAGAAAAAATAGTTTGAACAAGAAATAACTGAAGACTTTAACTTACATATATGTTCAGTAAGATATTCTCCTCGTGCATATTCAGTACTGGTGACAAATCCATCATGATCTGTATCATACATGTCAAATTTTGCAGGATCTATTTAATTGAAAGAAAAATTTATTTAAAAGATAAATTCTTTTTTTATTGATAATTACTTTTAATACGACCAAATTCGGCCCTAGTCAAAGCACCATCATGATTGGTATCAGCATAGTTGAATTCCCTTTGATCAGCTTGTTCTAAAGCATCCAAACGACCATCACGATTAAAATCAAAAGCATTCATGATTTGTTATTATCTAAGTTATAGTTGCTGGTTTATAATATGTATGAATGTAATGAATATTTGCAAATGCTTTAGTTTATATAATTTATCGGAAAAAGAAAAATACTATGTCTACTACCCACGTATGTAAAATCTATTGGTACAGACTCGAGTGTGTCACAAATCACTTCCTTAGCTAAAGAGAAAAATTTTGTGTGTTACAATATCCAAGCTATTGTTCGAAACATCACTTGTGGGAATTGTCCCAATGATTATATTCAGAATGCACGAGCATGCTTACAATATTAAGGCGAAAATATTTATCACACGTATG